TTGAGGGATTATACAAATCTGAACGTGACTTTTTTGAAATTAAGGATGGAACTGTATCTTATATAATTTCCAAGATGTTATCTTCCTGTCTTTATTCGGTTATGCTGCCCTCATGACCCTGTCCACAGGGTGAGCACAGAAGCAAGAAAAATACTAAGTGCCATCTCTTCATCTTCTGGATGGTATAATGGTAGCATGATTTGACCTTCTATATGGGCACCTGTTCTGCTGGTACAAACATCTCCTTTTCCCAACTGGGAGACTTCAGTCATTCATCCATCCACTCACACACCTAACAAATCCTTAATGAAAGCCAGCTACATGTGAGACACTATTAAAGGATGAGGGGCTCAGAACTGCAGTCACACCAGGATAGCGTTTGTCTTCCAATATATAACCCTACGCATATTTTTTTGGTGTGTGTTATATGTGTATGTGTTAATGTTTGTGCATACATGTGTGGGTGCCAACAGTGGCACGTGTCTTCCTCTGTCACTCTCCATCTTATTTTTTAGACAGACTTTCTTACTGATCATGGAGCTTTTAACTGTGAAACCAGCTGGTCAGCAGTTTCAGAGATCATGTCTGCCTCCCCAACCTTAGGACTTCAGGCTTGTATCACCATACCTGGCTTTTTATGTGGGTACAGGTGAATGCACTCAGTTCATGATTGTACAGTAGGCACTTTGCCAACTGATCTTAAGGGCAATAGGCATGAGCCTTTGAAAAGATGGGCAAACACCTAGTGTAGTGACTGATTCACCAAGTAGAGCACTTTGGAAATACAGGCAAAAGGTTCAGGAGTTCAGAGACATCCTTGGCTAAATACCAAGTTTGGGGCCAGGATGGCCTGCATGAGGCCTTGACTCAAAGAAGAAAAAAAACAAACATATGATGGGCAAAAGTGGAACTTATAGTCTAGCAGCTGGGCAAGAGCAGATGTGAACCAGCACAGTAAATCAGCGATGATGTGTGCACATAAGGTGATGAGGGAGTTATGGTGGACTGGTGATTAGAGGAGTGAGTCAGTAAGAAGGACCTGGGCAAATAAAGATCTAGAGAAACATTATTCTGAGAAGAATGAGCTAATGTGAAACTCCAGGATGGAACTAACCTGCACGTCCCAGGGCCACTACAGGAGCAGAGGCGATAAGAGGAGAGGTAGGCAGTGCGCTCAGCAGGGTAGCCAGCACCAGCTCCTCCAGGGCCTGCAGTAAAAACAAGTTTCTGACTTTCTTCTGGAGAGAGGAAGCCTGCAGAAGGTTCTGGTCAGAGTGATAATATGATCTGGTTCTCTTTTGAAAAGACCATCCAGCCAGGCGTGGTGGTGCACACCTTTAATCCTAGCACTCAGGAGACAGAGGCAGGCAGATATGTTTGAGTTCAAGGCCAGCCTGGTTTACAAAGAGTTCCAGGCCTGGCAGGTCTAAATAGTGAGCGACAAAAGACCATCCATCTAAGCTGCTGGTGGGGTGTATATTTTAGAGAAGAACAAGAGCTACATAGTGCAAGGTTGCTTGCTTAGGAGGTATAGGGTTACTTATTGCTGTGTAATAAGTTACCCAGCAACATAAAATTGCAGTCAGCAATTATCATTTCACATCATGTCCGCAGGTCAGAAACTTAGCAGTGTCTTGGCTGAGTAGTTCTGGCTCAGGATTTGTCATGAGGTCATAGTCATGTTAGCCTGAGTTACAATTACCAAAAAAATGGCTCACTCGTGTGGCTGTTGGTAGAAGGCCACACATATCTTTCCATGGGGCTGTTTGAATGTCCTTAGAACATGGTCAGTGGTTTTCTCAGAGTAAGTAACCCAAGGGAGAACAAGGTAGAAGCCATCATGATATTTTATAACCAACACACTGCCATGTTCCTTTTTGCTACAGAGATCAAGTCAGTCCTGTTTATTCTAGGTATAAGTATCAGGTAGTGAGAATTGTCGGGGACCTTCTTAGAGCCTGGCTGCCATAGACGGCTTTTCAGCAGTTGTCCAGATGGGAGGTGATAAGGGTGGCCAGGCATACATTGTACAGCAAAACTACCCTCTAAAAATATTTATATATGCATCTAGTGACACTTCTGACAGAAATTTCCCTATGTCACTGGGTGCTTCATGACCCAGTATTTGCAAATCAGTTCACAGACTGTTTTAACAAATCCAATTATAATCCATTATTAGTCTGTAAGGTGTTTTAGCCACATTATAAAGTAACACCTTATTTCATTTAATTTGACAGATCTGTGATTTTAAGTGACAGAATGATCTAAACACTATGTTTCTCAATAATTTAAATATCCCAGTCTCTTGAGCAGGCAGGAGGAAAGATGGATACACTTCAGCTACATTCATATTTTATGTAACACCTATTTTGCTTCTAAACTGTCTACTAGTTGAGTTGCTTAAACAGGCTTCATTTCTCTCTGGCTGCGTCCCCCTCAATAAGCTGTCATTCCTACACCTACTTCACGGAATATGCTTTAAGAACAAGTAAATCAGCGAGCTATCGCTGGACCTGAAACAGCTTCTGTCAGCTTAGTTATGGAAACACAAAGCCGACTGGCATCTTTCAGCCATTACAGCAGAATGGTCTGTCAGATGGGAGAATTCGTTTAACAGAGCGTAGGTGGCAATGAATCCATTTAATTAATGGAGTTGTCTGCAGCTTTAAGTTGCTTTTTCTGGTGATTATTTAATAGCTTTCTTTTGTTATAGACAAGTGGAAGAGACCAAAGTTTAAGTCATTAGAGAAGCAGCTTTCCTAAAGAAAACAAAGGAGTGACCACAGCAAGGAATGTGGCTAGTTGACTGAATAAAACTTGTCACTTAACACTGTAAAACCTGGTAGCTTTGTCCATAGAGACTGAAATGAAAGTTGTACTCTGGTAATGATCAGCCTTAAGAATAGTTGCAGGGTTTGGCCAAATTCACTCTTCTTCTTTCTATAAGCATAGAGAATACATTTACATTTTTTTTCCAAATATGTTCTGTCCCAGTTTTGAAAGATTTTTCTTTTGTGGTTTAAATGAAAAACCTTTAAAATTCTTTCCTACCCACTGATAATACAACAGCTAGATAAACCGTATAGATCTTAACTATAAGTAAACCAGAAGGGGTTGGAGAGATGACTCAGTGGTTAAGAGCACTGGCTGCTCTTGCAGAGGACCTGGGTTTGATTCCCAGCACCCACATGGCATCTAACAACTGTTCATAACTCCAGTTCCAGGGGAACTCAACACCTTCTTCTGACCTCTGCAAGCACTGCACAACATGGGTGCACTTACATACATGCCGTCTATACGCTCATACACTAAAAAGAAAATAATAATAACAAGAAGAAGAAGAAGAAAAGTATACCAGGAGCAGCAGCAAGCCAGCATTTTGTGTATGGCGGTGCCCTAAGGCAGCAAGCCTCTTACTCCCTACATCATAAAACTGATGTGTTTGTATCTGACTTTAGTGACAGCAAGTGACGAAGAGGAGGGAGCAGGTCTTTTTGACAACTCTGGCAAGGCGGCAGCAGATCCTTTCGACACGTCTTCTGGGTCTGTGCAGCTTATTGCGATCAAACCTGCAGCCCTACCTGTGGTGCACCCCACCGCGGACAGGAGCCAGGAGTCCTCCGCAGTCCTCAATGGTGAGGTGAGCACCTATGACCCTGACTGGGTGGAGAATCCAGCTGGGCCTCGGGGATTCAGATTAAGGAGTGATCCCTCCGTATGTGGTAAGAAGCTTGTGTCCAGTCACCTTGGACTGCAGAGGCCATCTGTACCTCTGTCTGTACCAGGCCTCCAAATGATGACTTCAGATACAAATCACCAGTGTGAGTTTGTTCAGAGGGTTTTTTCTCTTGCATTGAAAGCCCAGAGGGAACCTTTTAAACCCTGTGTTTAGAAAGGCATACGTCAGGTCTCCTTCCCCCAACTCTGCAGGCTTCCTGCACTGTATTCCTGTCCTCCTTGGCTCTGCCAGGGTTGGTGGTGTAGTGGTGATAAGAAGAGGGTAAACTGAAAAGGAAGTAGAGAACATGTTGTCATATGGACAGGGAAATGGCCCACTCGAAGCTTTTAAATAATATTTATGCCTTTGAGCAAGCTTAAGACAGCCCATTGGTTGCTTTCTGGATAGTATCACTGGGGATGTTGATCAACTTTCCTGGGGAGATGGCTCAGTTGGTAAAGTGCAAGTATGAGGACCTGAGTTTGGATCACTAGCACTCACAGAAAAGTGGGGCATAGCTAGGTAGTTTGACCAGGCTCCAGGGCACACACTGAAGGGCATTTGGGCAAATTGGACTCAAAAGGCTTTAAAAATATAATAGAGGACATGAAATAAGGTGGGTGTAATAAAGGGGTGCAGATAAGGGAGAGGGCCTGAATATGATCAAATACATTATATGGCACCCTCAAATATTCAATTAAAATACTTTTTTAAAAGTGGGGCATAGCAACATACATCTATACCCAGCACTAGGGGGCAGAGACAATTGGTCCCTTATGAGCTGGTCTAGCTGAATCTTTGAGCTCCAAGCCAATGAAAGACTCTTGTCTCAAAAACAAAACCAGGAACTGGAGAGATGGCCCAGCAGCTAAGAGCACTGGCTGCTCTTGCAGAAGAGCTAGGTTCAGTTCCCAGCACCCACATGGTAGCTAACAACCGTCCATAACTCCAGTTCCAGGTAATCTAGTGCCCCATTTCTGGTCTCTGTGGGCATTGCATGCATGGGTAAACTTACATGTAAATACATGCAGGCAAAACACTTGTATACACTAAAAAAAATACAAATAAAATGTTTTTAAAAAACTCTCCTAAGACTCAAAAAGTCTGTAACATATGTCAGAGAATGATGAGTTTATCAAAGAAAATTAGTCAGGTAAGGATGATAGATGGTAGATAATAGCTGATTGGTTGATAGAGAAGAGCGCTGTCTCAGAGGAAGAGCAGGAAGTCAGGTTGAAGATGTCATTCCTCATCTTCTTTCTGCAGAGAATGTCTACAATCTTTACAGGTACACATATGGAAGCCGTGTGTGTATGTTACACAGGTATACAACATACATTTTTTCTGATGTTAACATGTTGGGCTGGCTGCTCACTTCATTTGTTTATACCCTGCTGTTGTTGCCTGCAGCAGATTCGAGACTTCCAAAGCTTTAACGTCTCTTTCTCATCACACCTCAGGGAACACACTGCAGCCCTGTACAACTGGGTGTCATAAATGTATACCAGAGGCTTCGTTCCTCCATCCAGGGCACATGTGATATTGTTGTATGCACCTGTCAGCAGGAAATGCCTTTCTTCTCTGGGCAGAAAGACTGATCAGGTCTAAAAATGTGATGGGTTGAGGTGCAACTTCTTAAAAAATAACCAGTTATACACATAAGCATCACCTCTCTTTCAACTGAGAGGCGAAGGGCTGACTCAAGGTCACAATGAAGGGTGCTGTGGCAACCACGGTGATCAGATGCCCTGAATCCCTTTCTCATGCTCCTTACCACTCTTAACTCATATTCCAGCCCATCAATGAGAAAGAGCATTGTGCTTAAAGAATATGATCTCACAAGCCACCCTTCCAGAGCTGCAATTCCAGCTCTTCCATTTGCTGTCTGTGTGACTTCAGCAAGTTATCTGATTCTGCTGTGCCTCAGCACCTCTATCCACAAAATGGGCCAATATACATAAGCCACTTAGAAGACTGCCTAACAGAATTTTATTATTAATATTAATATTACTGATTCATCAAAGAGGAAAAATTAGTTATGTACTTTCTGCCCCTTAGCACTATAATCTTTCCTCAGACACAGTTCTGCCCACCCTCCAACCCAAGCCTCTGAGGTTGCTGCTAACACACTGATAACTGTCTTTGATTAGGATTGTCTGCCTAGTTAAAAGCCTTATAATGGCCACCATTCCTGGGCCTCTTTATCTCAGCTTAATGATATGAACATCATACAGACAGAATCCAAATCTAGAACAGATCGCTTTTCCTCTAGGCCCATCACCCTGTCACATAAGGAGAGCACATGAGTGTTTTCCTCATTCAGAAATGGACCCATGTTACATTTAGGTAGTTAAAGGAATGGGCCTTGCTGGCACTCACATTGGAAAAGAGCCCTGTTTTCTCTGTAGTGTTTTGCCCTGCAGAGCTTGACATAGACTGCTTTATAATCCTTTTTCTTCTTCTCTTATGAATGGTTGATTAAAGTGGAACAAAAGAAAAGCATAACCCAAAGCTGTAATTTCTCTGTTAGGAGTTGGAGAGAATTCTTTTTAAAGATTATTTTAAAGAAAATAACAACATAGGAAGTTCAAAAATGAGGGTGTAACTGCCATGCCATCTGTAGTTAAATATGTTCTTCTGCTAGTATCTTTTACAGGTCAGAGGGAATTAGCCATCTTCCTTTCTGAAAGGCCAAACTGGCTTTGCCCTATAAAGCAGGACCTGGTTGGCATTTGTGGCCACAAAGCTTCAACATATTCTCTCTCTCTCTCTCTCTCTCTCTCTCTCTCTCTCTCTCTCTCTCTCTCTATCATCATGGGTTTACAGAAATACCCCTCATGGGCAAGTGGATCATGTAGAAAGACCTCTGGAGTCAGGCATTTGTTCTGCCTTCCCAACACATCCATCCCAATCTACTCTGGGACTCAGCCACAGGACCCAAGCTAAGTGGCCAGAGGAGGCCATGAGGTTGTTCAGGACTGGAACTAGACTCAGAGCACCAAGAACTAGTCAGACTGCCAGGTCAGAGGAACCCCAAGGTATGGGCAGAGTAAGGACCAAAATGGTAAGAGCTCTTATCTAGAGTATACACGGAGCCAGACAAAGGCTTCAACAGAATCAGGACATAGGCTGCAACAGAATCGCACAGACTTGGGCAACAGGGTGTCAGGTAACTCAGTGAGGGCCCAGCTCCACACTGTATGAGTGCTGGTGTGTTGGTGACACGCAGGAGGCTTTTGTTACAAAACCTCCTATACTTCACCTCTGGTCCTCCTAGTCAGTTGTCCTTGTAACAGTAAAAGCCTCTTGTCTGTCACCATGGTGGGTCAGGTGTGGAGCTAAGACTCTCTCTCTCTTCCCCCAGGTGAACAAGGCTCTAAAGCAGAAATCAGACATTGAGCACTACCGGAACAAGCTACGCCTGAAAGCCAAGAGGAAGGGATACTATGACTTCCCTCCGGTGGAGACAAGCAAAGGCCAGACGGAAAGAAAAAAGATATACGAGAAAGCCCCAAAGGAAATGGAGCATGTTTTGGACCCAGACCCAGAACTATGTGCTCCCTTTGCTGAGTCTAAAAACAGGTACAGGCTCCATAGGTGTTCTTATGTCCCTGTGTCACATGTGGGATGAGGGCAGAGGATACATGGACAGTATAGCCCTGCTCCTTTGGACTTAGGATCGTGACCTTCATAGACTGGTGATCTGGGCCCTATGAGCATGTGCTCCATTGTAAGTCTGAAAGAGTGAAATTAAAGCCATTAAAAGAATACTGGAGCAAACAACCATAATTGTCCTTCAGCTTAATGATATTTTTCAAGCCAGTAGCTATTTCAAAAGAGCTGGATGAAAGAGAATTATCACCTACCTAGTTAATGCAACTTCCAGATCAAGGGGGATTGTATTTCTCAATTATGTTAGTGGCTCTTGCACGGGAAGGCAAATTTCATGCCTCACCTTTCATTCAGCCTCAGTAAGTATCTATCGCACTGCTGCTCAGAACTTGTGCTGGCTTGCCTCGCTCATTCATAGATTTGTTCAGTTATTCTACATGTTATTGTCAGTGGGCGGGTATCAGGCACCAGTCAAGGTGCTGTATCCACTGTCATAATCTGTGGGCTTTTCTCACTCATTCCCTCAATGTTTTATGTCAGACTGTTTTATGGTGGCTGCTCTTATGGAAGCCACAAAACCAAGTTGGAAGCTGGGGCTAAGTCTTATGAACTAAATCAACATAATTTAGTTTCAGAAGTAATAAAAGGGAATTCTAAGCCAGCGCTTAATTTGCCAGGAGTGGTTGGCTGGTATGACAAACTGTGGACATAAAATCACACCATGACAGGATTTGTAATGCATATGTCACCATGTTAATGCATGTAGAAGAAAGGAAAGAAAAGGTACAACTTTCACAGGGAGGCTGATGGCAACTTTAACTTGCACTTTGCTCTCTGGGACTCTACTTCAGGGTTCTCTGACAGACTGAGGTGGGAGCTATTTTCCCTGGGTTTCCTTGTTTCAAAAGTTACTGGAGAGACAAGTAACACTTTCAGTGATGATTTTTTTTTCATGAACAAAGGTGTTTCCTGGGAGCTTTGTCTGGACTCCTCAGCATAGATCAGGGCTAGGTGCATAAGGCTCATGGTAGCCTGGCACTGCAGTCCACATACAGTTCTCAGCAAATGTTCATTGAAAAAAATGATTCAATTACTTAAAAGCACCAAAAATAATTTGAAAAATACTCAAATTTTCTCTAAGGAATAAAAATAGCCATAAGCTGGGTGAGCTGGTAACAGGAGATGGGGTGGCAGAGGCAGCTAAGGGAAAAGGAGAGAGCTTATAAAGCTTGCTGCTCACAGCTTATAGCCTGTAGCTCAGAGGTGTGGTTCTTCACACTGACTCCAGACCACTACCTGCTGTTAAGAGTTCCCTGTTAATTGCTGTTCACAGCACAACCTCAGAGACTCTGCTGTGAGCCACCCATGGGGCAGAGCACAGGGAGGGAATCATTTAAACCACTCTCTGGTCCCCAGGTATATCATCAACTAGAATTTTACCTTTAGAGTAAAGTGAGCAAATAAAAGACAAAATCGAGATTCTAAATGTTGACTTTAAAATAGTTTTCAAAGCTTTCTTTTTTCTAAAATCAGCAAAATATCCCATTGTACATCACGCACTCTTGCGGAGACAAAGTGCACAGCCTGCCTGAAGCAGATGCCATCCACAGCTGAATGTATCTGCTCAGCTGATTGCACCTGCTCTGGCCGGCAGCAGCCTGCTGTCTGCAGCCTCTGTAACTCCCACTTGAGGGCTTTTTCACCACAACTACTGGCCAAAAGTGTTGGGTAGTTAATGTGCTGTGGAGCATCCTCAGCCGATGACAGATTAGAGTTGATGGATCAGTACCCCTGGCAAGGGATTCTGAGGTGCCAGTTACACTGTTAAAATATCCACACCTTCTAGTTTCTTCTAGTTTGATGCTTACTCATGGGTCAAGTGGAAAAACTGCCCCTCCTAGGATTACTTAATGCTTAGTGACAGGAATGGACACACCTGCAAGTGGACTTTCCAGACACAAACAGTCCAGAACCCAGACCTCATCCACCTCATTTAGATGGCCTCACAGGGCTCTCCCTCTGGGCCAGTATCCACCTGACCAAATCATCTCAGGGCCAATGACTAGACAAATGAGGACCGTCCTTGTGCCTGTGGAGTCTGCCAAGATCATCCAAACCAGCTCTTTCCATGCCTGCTTACTCTGCCTGGCCCATTACCTCCCTCAAAAACCCGTGCAATTTAAAAGCTTTTGCTCATTCTTTCTGCTTAGTCCCTTAGCCTCCTGGCCCATCCTGATACTTCACCCACCCTGTTGGCCCACTGTGGTATGGCCTGCATCCTTCTCTTGATATCCACAAGTATAATAAACTGCCTTTTCAATAGCAGGCTTCTCCTGCCATAGAATAATAATAAAACATGGTCTCCCACACTTCCCAGTAAGTTTGAGTCCCAGCTACTGTAAACACTAATCAATTCCTTATCATACCTCTGTTGACGTCCATCTATCCCTCCTCTGTTTCCCCCTTTTCCAGGAGATGCTTTCCAGAGCCACCTCCCCACAAAAGCCACTTGCACTCAGGTCCTCATAAAACATGCATCTGGGGGACCCAACATAATACAAGAACCTATAAAGACAGAGTTGCTCTAATGGAAACCAGGTAGCCCTCACCTTCTCAGAGGCTTAGGCTATCTCTACAGAATCCTAGAGTTCCACAGAATACAATTTGAAAACTACTTTCTTAAACTCTATTATAATATAAAAGCCCTTAAGAATCCAAATAAGGGCTAGAGAGATGGCTCAGCGGTTAACAGCACCTCTTGCAGAGGACCCAGGTTTGATTCCCAGCACCTACATGGCAGCTAACAACCATCTGTAACTCCAGTTCCAGGGGATCCAACACCTTCTTCTGACCACTTCACAACATGGGTGCACTTACATACATGCAGGCAATACACTTGTTCTAGTTTGTTTCTCCATTGCTGTGACAAAACACTCTGACCAATACCAACCTGGGGAGAAAAGGGTTTATTTGGCTTACATCTCCTGGGTCACAGTTCATCAGGGAGCCCAAGGTAGGAACTCAGGGCAGGAACCTGGAGGCAGGAGCTGAAGCGCAGTCCATGGAGGAATGCTGCTTACTGGCTTCCTCGCCTGGCCCTTACTCAACCTGCTTTCTTATACAGCATAGGCCCACCTGCCCAGGGGTGGAACCACCCACAGTGGGCTGGGCCCTCCCACATCTCTCAATAATCAAGAAGATGCCCCACAGTCATGGTCACAGACCAGTCCAATGAAGGCAATTCACCAATTGAGGCTCCCTCTACCCAGGTGTGTCAAGTTAACAGCTAAAGCTATCCAGCACAACACTGATACACATAAAATAAAAATAATAAAATATTTTTAAAAAGGAATCCAAATAATCCACTCATCATAATCTACCCACTGATATAATCAAAGGTTAAAAAAAAAAAACCCTCAAATTGGCATGTTCTAAAATATAGCAAAATATGAACAACGGTAAGTGTATCTAGTAGAATTTTGTTTGATTAAAGTAGGCATTTCTCTACCTGAGAGCCTAGTTTATTTTCAGGTGGAGAGTCACACTTCAGGCACACACCCACACTGGTAGTCTGGTCACTGAGATAAATGCTAGATAAGAGCATTTCAGTTTCGCTTTATGAGCTGAGGATGTAGCTCAGTAGTAGAGCAGTACTTGCCTACATCAGGGCCTTTGAGTTCGATCCCCAACAGTGCTGAAAAGCTGGGCATTGTAATGCAATGTTTTCTCTGGGGGAAGAACAGCCTGGTGGGTACTCCAGTGTCTGAGCTTTTCATCACATTCATGGTCCTCACTAGAATATGTCTAATGCTCATAAAATAGCCTTTTTTGTCAATTACCAATCCTACTTATTCTGCCACCACCCTTATTAGTAAATCTTTTCTTAATGAGATAATTGACAATGTCAGGAGAGCTGTGAAGTGTGCTTTTACAAAAAATAATTTGTAATTAAGCCAAGCATGAGGATCCTTCGGGGTCTGCCTTAAAGTATGAGTCACTTAGAACAAATTCCATCTCACAAGCTTGCTGCAGCTGGGTGCCTTTCCTAATGGCAGTTTCTAATAGCAGATAACTGGAGGGTATAGTTTATAACATCAGGTTATAAGTTGTCGTAGGGGCTAGAGAGATGGCTCAGTGGTTAAAAGCACTAACTGCTCTTGCAGAGGACCCAGGTTCAATTCCCAGTACCCACATGGTGGCTACGATCCGAAACGTCCTTAACTCCAGTTCCAGGGGAATCCAAAGCCCTCTTCTGACCTCCACGGCATTGCATGACATGGGTGCACTCACATACATGCAGGCAATACACTCATACACATAAAATAAAAATAATAAATAAAATATTTTTTAAAATTATAAGTTGTCATATTAGCCAGGATTCTTTTGGTTACAAACAGTGGAAATCCAGTACAAACTGGTTAAGCAAAGGGGAATGTATTCTTGAGCACTACTGCAAGGCCACAGCTTCAGTCAAGGCAGGAATGATGTCTCTGGTTTGCTCTCTCTTCACTCTTCACCAGCATCCTTTGAAGGCAAGCTTGCTGTCAGAAACTCTAGGCTTGTGTCCCTATCTTCTTAGAAACTTCAAATCCTGTAGGGTGTGGTGGTGCACACCTTTAACCCCAATGCTTGGGAATTAGAGGCAGGAGGATCTGTGAGATGGAGGCCAGCCTGGTCTACATAGCAAGTTCCAGGCCAGCTGATGCTATAGGGAGACCCTGTCTGAAAAAAACAAAAGAAAGAAAGAAACAAACAAAAGAACCCCTCAAATTCAAGATGCTCTAGCAGAAACTCTGAGACTCAGTTTCATTGGACCAACTCAAATCATGTGCCCATGCACCCACAACCCCTGGCCAATCACATGGATTTGTAGATATGATACTGTAGTTGGACTAGTCTGAGTCAGTTGCCTACCCCTACAGGAAAGGTAGCCCTAAGGAGCATCATCTGTACTTCTCAGGAGGGACAGCCATGATAGATAGGACCAGGCAGGTAAAAAGAACAAACAGATGCTCTCAAAATAGGTATAGTTCCTCGTGAAGGAAATCTGAGTGTCTGTTGCATCCCATGGTTATTGCAAAGGTGGTGCTTTGCCTTAGAGTTCTAATGTCCACTGGACCGTGTGTGACTGTAATACCACGACCTGTGTTATGGGCTCTGGCCTCCTACAACCACTGGGAATAAATAATGCCATGTCTTCACCCGTAGCCATGACCAGCTAAACATACAACAGGGTTCTCAAGATGGTCTGGGGGGTAAAGATTATTTTGCTATTAGATGAAGGGAAACTTTCATCCCTTTGTCACTCTGCAGAATCCCAAGGAAGTCACCCATCATTAATAGGTCTCACTTCTGCTAATAACTGTCACTTGTAGAAGAAAAAAAAAGTATGCCACTGACTTCTTTATGTCCCTATTTCCTTTCCTCTCTACAGATAATGACAAGTGGAAACAAGACAGTGGTAAACTTATGAACTGTCCAGAAGTAGCCAAGAGGAACCCTGAACAGGCTACTGCCTGAGTTTGGGAGGCTCTGTGCTCTCTTTATATCATATCGCCTCCTCAGAGAGGCCTTCCCTGACCATCCTTTCTGAAGTTGACCCCAACCTAATCACCCTCTATCTTACCTTGTTTTTATTTATCTATTTGTGTATGTGTGTATATGTGTGTGTGTGTCTATGTGTATATGTGTGTGTCAGTGGGTGTCATTTCTCAGTTGTCACCCATCTTCTTTTGAGTTTCTCACTGCCCCAGAATTTGCCAAGTAGGCTAGCCTGGATAGCCAGTGAACCCCAGGATCCTCCTGTCTCTGCCTCCCCAGTGCTGAGATTAAAATCGTGCACCATCATGCCCCTTCCTTCCTTCCTTCCTTCCTTCCTTCCTTCCTTCCTTCCTTCCTTCCTTCCTTCCAAAAGTTGGAGTTTATTAAGATCCCTCCCTCCCTCCCTCCCTCCTTCCTTCCTTCCTCCCATGTGTCTTCTGGGAATTGGACTCAGGTTATCGTATTTGCAAGGCAAACACTTATCAACTGAGCTATCTCTCCAGCCCTCTTTATTTTTATTAATAGCACTAATCACTCTGAAATTATCATGCCAATTGTCTCCCTCATCCAGATATAAGCTCTGGGAGGACTAGGGCCAGGAATGCTCATCTTACACAGTGCCTAGCACACACTAGGCACTCAGTGAAGGGAAAAAAAGGGTGCATGAATGGATATAAATGCAACCCCAAACTGTCTCCAGGCTTAAAGCTTCTTAGCTCAGGAGAGAATCACATAGCGATTATAGAAAAGAAATTGGTCAACAATCATAGCATTAGGCAGCCCACCAGCTACAGCGTTGTAGAATTCCATGCCTGAAATAAAAAAGATGAAAAAGAAACAAGAGGCTGCTGAGTCAACAAACTCAGCAAAGGCAAGTTTGTTCCACAGTGTTAGCTGTCCTCGAGGGTCAAGGGAGAGCCCTGGCTTTGCCATCAGCAGAATTTTTGATGAGGTTGCGCTGCAGCAATTGATTGTAGTTGCCTAATTTGATATGAATGAACATATAATTCAGCCAAGTAACCGGTTATAGCATTGCGGTACCTATTTCTCTCTTCCTCAGATGGCGAGAGACCACGTACCATCAGTTCTGAAATTGTGAGGCGAATCCAAACCCTCCACTGGTTGCCTGTAGGTTTGGATCGGTAAATTCCATCTGTCGGGGCATTTGCTACACTATAACAGTTGTTGGATTTTTCTTCAGGCAACAGATGAAGAACTCTGTCTACCGAAGCCGGCAGTCTCTGAACAGCCCCAGTCCAGGAGAAACCGAGATGGACCTTCTGGTTTCGCGGGAGCGACCCCGGCGTGGAATACGGAACAGCGGATATGACGTAAGTGTCTGGTAGCCTGGGGTGGACCCAGCTTTCCCAGGAAAGCAAGGGGATGCTACATCCCAGAATGTTCTGTTTGTTTGTAGCATTGTAAGGTACCTTGTAGTATTTTCAGTGTTACTGGGGGTTTTATTCGTTGTTTTGTTTTGTTTGCCTCTTTTTGGCAAACTTGTACTACTTGAAATGTGTCAGATAAATTTATTTCTGATAGGATCATGATTTTTAAACTATGCTGTTCTTCAAATAGTTTATTACTAACCTGAAATTCAACGGAGATTGTACATGTTTTTAATTTTCCCTGTCTGTTGTAAGAGCTGTGACAGTGGATTAGAATTCATTTGAACACAGGCATGTTCTTAATTTTCCCCCTCTGTTGTAACAACTGTGACAGTGGGTTAGAATTCATTTGAACACAGGCTACTTTTAATCTATAGCAGCGTTGGAAATCAGGATTTGTTTCTGATTTTGTAACTCTTCAATGAGCCATGGAAACAATGACGTGTTCAACAGCGTGAGTTGATTTCATGTGACAGAGCACATGCCTGTGTTTAGTGATGGGTCCAAACTGCAGGCATTCCTCCAGTCCCATTAGACTTCCAAGGAAGAGGAGGTGGGTTCCAAGACCTCCTCAGGATGGATGCAGACATCCTGAACTTAAAGTTGTACCCATGAGTTCACCTGGATTATTCTATGGCCAAGGTGTTCAGTATGCGTCTACCTGCATCAGAATTTTTTTTTTTTTTTTCAGTTTCTGTAGTATAGTTCTGGCTAGCCTAGAACTCTGTGAGACAAGGCTGGTCTTGAACTCACAGAGGTCTGCCTGCCTCTGCCTCCTGAGTGCCAGGATTAAAGGCATACACCTACTAAAATAGGCTCTCTCTCTCTCTCTCTCTCTCTCTCCCCTCAATACTGGGAATAGAACCTAGGGCCTTGCACATGACTAAGCAAGTTCATTACCACTAAGATACATCCCCAGCCCCTGCCTCAGAATTTCAAACAGTGTTGAATAGAATTTCAGTTTTAAGAAAAATGCTTCTCTCCCTTTCTCCTAAGATATTTCTTTATTTAAAAATTAATTTTTTTCTATAACAAGATTTATCATTCAAATATATCTGGAGAAACTTTTTTATATACAATAATTTTTAAAAATTTTTATTATTTTTATTTGATGTGTATATGTGTGTTGCCTGCATGTAGGTAAGTGCACCCATGTTGTGCAATGCCCACAGAGGTCAGAAGAGGCTGTCAGAACCCCTGGGATTGGAATTACAGACAGTTGTTAGTTGCCATGTGGGTGCTGGGATTCGAACCCAGGTCTTCTGCAAGAACAACCAGTGTTCTTAACCGCTGAGCCATCTCTCCAGCCCCTGGAGAAACTTTTATAACTTGAGAAATGGTAATTTGAATAGAACACTTGATTTCTTAAATATGTCATGCAAATTTGAAGGCAAGAAGGTTTTTCCCTTTTGCGATTAATCATTGTTTGACACAAGTACTTAAAACAGGCTTCTAAACTGATCCAATTAAAACCAGAGATATTCTACATAATTAGAATTTCTGATGATCTTACTCAATTGAAATTTGATATTTTGTTGACAGTGATGCTAGGTCATCTATTTCTTCAGTGCAAGGGACTGAACTGGGGGTCCTGTGCATGCTCAGCAAGCACTCAGCACTTAGAGCCCTAACCCACTCATCTTTCTTCTTTTCTTCAGTGATATTGCTTAACAAATGTTTCTTTTTTCCCTTTTCATAAAAAGCTTGATAGTTTCATTTTATAAAATTCTAGATACTTTGACCACATCTTTTTGACATTACATCTTTGATCTCTGTTAAACTCTCCTAGCAGACAGTTTTTCTTTTTATAGAAGTATTTCTGGGCTGGGGAGATCACTTAATGGGTAAGAATGCTTGCTGTGCAAACAAAAGAATGTGAGTTCAGATCCTCAATACCCATGTAAAAGCCAGGCATGGCCACTTATTCCTGCAACCCCAGCATTTGTAGACAAAGATAAGTGGATCCCAGGAGCTCACTAGCCAGCCAGCCTAGCAGAAAAGGTGAAATCCAAGTTCGGTGAGAGCCTATCTCAAAAAACCAGGTGGAGTAGCTGGAGAAATGGTTCTAAGGCTCAAGTGCTTGCCATGCAAGTCAGAGGACAGGAGTTCAGATCCCTAGAACCCATGTAAATGCAAGATGGGTATGGCAGCTTCCCTGTGATTCCAGTCTCAGAAGGCAGAACTGGCTGGAAGCAAGCTGGCAGTGAGACTAGCCCTATCAATGATCTCTGGGTTTGATTGAAAGACCCTGCCTCAATGAATAAGGTGGAAGAGTAATAAAGGAAGATTCTCAACATCAACCTCTGTCCTCCACAGACATACATATACACCTACACATGCCCCCACATCCGCACATACACCCACACACATAAACACATGAAAAGAAGACAAAAAAATAAGGTGGAGAACAATCACCTTTCCCTCCCCCTCCCCCCACACACAAGTAATGAAAGAAATAAGAGCCCTGGCTTTTGTTTTTAAATATTTTATTTATTATTTTTATTTTATGTGTATGAGTGCTATGCCTGCATGTAAGTAAGTAAACTCATGTCATGCAATGCCGGTGGAAGACAGAAGAGGCTGTCGGATCCCCTGGAACTGGAGTTACAGACAGTTGTTAGCTACTATGTGGGTGCTGGGATTCAAACCGGGGTCTTCTGCAAGGACAGTCAGTGTTCTTAACTGCTGAGCCATCTCTCCAGCCCCTGATCCCTGGCTTTTAAAAAAAATCAACCTAACTTCTAAATTTTTAACTAACACTAACCCCCGCATCCCGCCAAGAAGCCAAGAGTCAGCATCCTTGCTAGAAGCTTGCATAGTTTGGAGAACGTTTTTTTCTACTCTAGCACCTGAGATGTGATAGAATCTTTAGTCAAGATAAGTGTTAACCTATTTCTTCTGGGTTTGGACACAAACACTTTTATTGTTATGAAGAAATGGGCCAGAGGTTTCCCTAATAATCTTAAAAGAATGCTTTACCGGACATAGCTATGTAGCATAACTAATAGCTTTAGAAGGTCATACTAGTAAATTACTTAGAATGATAGAAGATTGTTCAGCCCTCACAGACAACATGTGTAGATATTCCATGTATAAATATTCATTTGCAAATTTAGGAAGGGCCTCTTTAATGAACTTTTACATATGTATATGTGTGTGTGTGTGTGTGGAGAGAGAGAGAGAGAGAGAGAGAGAGAGAGAGAGAGAGGCATGTTATCTGAAAAAAAAATTGTCACCTGGGAAATAATTTTAAGAATTTAGGCTGTGAACTATGTAGCCTGTCTTACCTATGTCTTGAGCTTTCTCACACTAATCATATGAGAACCTTTACTGACAGCACAGTATAGACCAAGTCCTATTCTAGTGTTCTTATCTAGCTGACTACATGCTTTCCAGAAGGCACTCTCATTATACCCCTTACACAGAAGAGGAAACTGTGGCTCAGAGTAGTTACATAATTTGCCTTCCAGAGCTCATCCTCTTAACCACCATGCAATATGGCTTCTAAGCACACCCTTCCTCAGATAATACATTTCCTGTATTTCTCTCTGAGAGAGACTAGATGTCAAGTCTTGGAAGGATCCTTATAGAACCAACTCACACAAGAAAAAAAGAAATGGATTGGCAAGTGAAGAAAGAAGTAAGTCATAGTTTTAAACAATGAATTCATTTTCTGAGCCCTTGATTTTCCCAAAATGTCAAGGCACTCCTGGCAAAAGAATCCATTAGCCCAGCAGTGAACCTGTCACTTGGTTGGAAATGTGTCATTCTGCCTACTGTGTCTGGAGATCTCAAATGAGGCCAAAATATCAAGTCCTTTCTGCCAGGTTAGGGAAGCTTGACACTGTATAAACAAAAACTCAGGGAGATTGATTTAATTTTGAATTTATCAAAAGCTGACTATTTTAGATTCCTAAAGGAAAAGCTTGCTTATAAAAATAAATGAAAGGGTTGGAGAGATGGCCCAGCAATTATGAGCACTGGTTGCTCTTGCAGAGGACCAGGGTTCAGTTCCCAGTCGGTGTTAATAGCAGTCTGTAACTCCAGTTCTGGGGTATCTGACGCCCTCTTCTGGGCTCCATGGGCATTGCATGCTCATGGTACACTTACATGCAGGCAAAACACTCATACACATAAAATAAAAATAAATAAATCAAAAAATTAATAAAAATGCACAAATAAGCAAGTACACTATGTTACATGGGCATATCTTAGCTGGAAGGATGGAAGGCTGCCTGGATTGTTTCAAAATTCCCATACAGCAAGAGCTGTCTGGGCTGCAGAGGAGAGATTGATGCAGGGAGTCAGGATCATCATTTTTTGCAGCAACAATTCTGAACTTATTCGTTGGTCACTCTTATCACCTAGGACCTTTAGTGACTATCACCTACTTTGTAGTAATTTTCTAAGAATACACACTCATTATAAAAGAATACGTTATTTTTTTAAAAGATACCCCAAACTGATTACTTTTAACAGGTAGACTGTATTAAACTACCTTTGCCCTGAAAATTAATTCCTCTCAATACACATGACAGGTAGAAAAGAAGAAAGAGAGAGAGAGAGAGAGAGAGAGAGAGAGAGAGAGAGTCTTCCTTTAGCCATAGCTAGCCTGGATCTCACTGTGTAGATAGACCAGGCTATCCTTGATCTCTCAGAAATCCACCTGCCTCTGCCTCCCAAGTGTGGGGATTAAAGGCATGTGCCACCATGCCTGGCTTCTAACTATTTTTGAATTTTAGAATTCTTTTCAAAAATTTCATACATGAGTATTATATTCATATCACTTCCATCCTTCCCTGTCCCCCTCCAATTCCTCCCATGTCCCTCCACTCCCTACAAAAATGCTTGTTTTCTTCTTTATCATTGTTACATGTGCATACAAACATTTCTAAATCTACATATATAATTCATAAGTATTTTTGTCTATGTGTGAGAAGGTG